GGTGAAAGGAAGGGTGGGTGGAAGGAAGGAAGAAAGGAAGGAAGTGGTGGGTTGGTGGAAGGAAGGGAGAGGGGTGGAAGGAAGGAAGGCGGGTGGAAGAAAAAGAGAGGTGGGTGAAAGGAAGGAAGGGGTGGATGGAAGGAAGGGAGGGGTGGGTGGAAGGAAGGAAGGGAGGTCAGACTCACCATGACTCATTCAGAAGCATCAGAGCTGTCAGCTAGTGTGTTCATTTTCCCACCCACACATCCTCTGAAGCTGCACACAGCCGTGGTGGGAGAGAAAGGGGGGGGGCAGAAAGAAAACTGAACCATCAGGTATGTTCTGTGCATCAGTGAAGGCGGTGGCAAGCAGCAGTCTCCTGAACCTCCCCAGAGGAGAGTTGTCAACCATCCCTGCAGACTGCAGCCCTCGATATTTCCACTCGCCCGCGAGTGGAAATAAGGTGGGGGCGGAGAGCAGTAACGGGAATAGGGGTGTGTGGGAGGGGTGACGGTGGGGGCAGGGACAAACAATGATCTCCTGTATGGCTTTCAATAAAGCAGCTGGAAGCCCCTTCTCCACCTCTCTCTCCCACAGCTTATTTCCACTCGCGGGCGAGTGGAAATTTCGAGGGCTGCAGTCTGCAGGGATGGTTGACAACTCTCCTCTGGAGGATGGGGGGTTCAGACCCCCCTGACTCCCTCTTTATCTATGGTCGGACCTCCTAATCAGTGCATATGACAGGTCCCTCAGCTCTAATAACCCATTTGTGCTGTGGTTTTAAAATTTTTTGTTACCAAACTTAAGGCTGCCTTACATGGATTGAAAAATGTATGGGCAAGCTGGTTGTACAGAAGTCAACCTACTGTTAAACTTCCTTACAACCAGCCTGTTGGGTTTTCCCGATTGGTTAGTATAGGGAAAGCTCCCCGCTGTCAAAAAACAATGATTCAGCCGGAAGGATTACCCCATCTACATCAAGTGTGTGGAGGGGGAATCAGGTCCCCCTCAGGTCATTTGTTTGCATTCAAACCACTGGTTTAATGCAAAAACAAAATGAACAATGTATGGCCTGCTTTAGGGTTTAGCTAGCATAGTCATTCTGGGATAGTGACCTTACTGACATTAAAGTATAACAGCACTACGTTTACTGCTCAAAATTGGTCTATATCACTTGAGTCTGGGCAAAAGCAGCTTTCACCAGAAGCCTCCTTAAAGATATTTTGCTTTTAGACAGCTTTCCTTCAAGTAAGCTCTTGTTGGCATTTTTAGTATAGCACTGCAAATCTCAGTAAAAAGCAAAGTGCAATACCCCAAAGCACATTCTATATTCTGCAATTACATCAGCTAAAGCTGAATTGAGTTGACTGTACTTTGAGCATAGTTCTTTACCATCCTGACCAAGTACAACAATGTCCATGTCCTATCCTTTCCAGTAACTCGAAGATTGTGAAGTTGAGTGGTTTGCAGGAGCTGTACACATATGTCCTTTCTGTTGAGAGGTAGTCTGTAACCATAGGAACCAAAATTGCATAGAATTCCTGAACATTTTGTGTGAGAAAGTTACGTTCTAAAAATAGTGTGTTTGTGGTACATTTTATCCGTACATCATGCTCTTTCTAGCTTTGGTATCATTTGAAAAGTCCCAGATGTTTGCCTCGTCATCACTGAAAGCCCCCAAGTTCCCCCAGTCTGACCTGATTAAATTACATTGCGGAATGTGGTGTCTTTGGAGTGTGGCTTGTGGGAGACTTGGATAACAATCCTGTTTCGAGGAAAACATTTCAACTTGTGTCCTTACTGCCCAGACGTTTATTTACAGCATGTGGTGTTGGAGCTGATATAGGCATATTTATTTGAACACTCTTTTAAAGCAAACCTGCCTGCCATTTTAACTATTGAAAGGAAAAAGTAATGCAAAAAAGCAGACATCACAAGATAACTGTCTAAAGGGTTAGTTCACAAAGAAAAACTACTTAAGGGGTGTTTGTAGATAAAAACAAACTGTGCAGGTCTGACTAACATTTAATAATGCCCTTGCTATAGGTATAGGCTCAGTGAATTCCGACGCATGTTTTACTGTATATACAGACTAATTTTACTGTTGTGGGTTTATTAAAGCTTTAAAGTGTTACTAAACCCACAACGGTAAAATCAGTCTGTATATGCAGTAAAGCATGCTTGTTTTACTTACTGTGGAACCTAAGGGGTTAATCCCCCCCCCCATTGTGTAAAAAGGCTGTTTGATCCTGACTTCTCTGACCCTCCCCTTCTTCCAGTGCCCCCTCTTATCTCCTGATAAGACATAATGTGTGGAGAACAATAGAATAGAAAACCTGTGCTTGGGAATATGCAGATAAAATTAGCAGCTAACAAAATATACCAGTAGGTATATTGTGTGGAGACAACAAAAGAGAAAAAAAAGAAAAAGGGAAAAAAAAGAGAGAAAAATTCCCAGCTCAGCTTGACAACTAGCCTGCAAACAAACCAAATTAACCTGTCTAGCAGTATGCGTTTAAAACAGGGATTTAGTTAGCACACATTTGCAAATACATGCGTAAGCTACAGAGCCTCTTCACGGCACCCTGATATTCTGTAGTTCCTAACTCTACAAATTCCTACAAAAGATAAAATGCATTTCTGATGATCACAAGTGCTCATTATCACTTACAAGGCTGTCCTTGCACCATCCAATTACTACATAAAATACAAAAGCTTAGCCTTTCACAACATTATCTGGTTCTTTAACTAGACCAGAGTTCTTCTTTGAACATAAAAGAAAATTGTTTAATCTTAACTGTAGAAAAATGATGTTTTTTCCTGTGCTCTCAGCTGTGAGCTGTCCATATCCTAAGAGGCTCAGTTAATGTCACATTGAATAGATGCTCCAATTACGGTTAACAAGGCAAACAATATATATTTGACATACTTGTTATCCACTTACATGTTTTCCTGGAACATTCTGGTTTTACCAAAAATAAACAGCTTTTAAAATATGAAAGCACATTTTTCTCTATTTTAATGAATAAATAAACACGATTTAAGGTTATAAATTATAGAAACACATCTAAAGTACTGCAAAATGTAACAATAGATGTGGCTGTTAACTGCCATCAGTTAACTTATTATTTATATTTAGGGGTCCTTTGCTAAAGCAGCAGCAAGGCATTACCACGGCCAAAGAAAAAGTGAGAGTAATAAACAAAGTCATGTGACTGGCAGCTCCTCCAATCACTGAGTTCTCTTTGATGCATGAAAGTGGAACTACGCTGCATCTGAGCACCACTAACCAAAAACATTATTTAATTAATTTATGATATTCAAAACAAACTCACCCTTCCATCCATGTCTCCATGATTTATTTTGTTGAGAAATCACTTTGAAAAACAGCCCCTAGAATTTCTGTCTCTGGCCATCTTGAGTAAGGGCAGATGATTCATGTAGCTTAAGTGTGAGACAATGCTGACTAGATTGTAACCCCCACTTGTCAAAGTCTCCCTGGTTGGGCCTGCACATGCAATCTGTGTTCTCATACATTCCTATGGGGCGGGTCAGTCTGTCACATAACCTTGCATTTCAGTAAAGCAGGTAAAAAAAACTAGACTGTAGCAAAAGTGTGAGCCAGCAAGAAAAAATCTGGCAAGCGACTGTGCAATTTAGTCAATAATATCGAGGACCGTGGAGCAAGGAGACCCAACATGTAGCTTTGGAGAACTCACACGTTTAGTCCACCTTGCCACAACCTGCTCAGTCAATTATTCTCACCCAATCTGTAGAGGTCAGTTACCATGCACTGCACTGATGATGTCCAACAAACCTAAAACAGCTACAATTTGGAATAAATGGCTCTCTAATATAAGGTGGTATCTGGGTTATAAAGCAGCAGCTCTGGATCCACAGTTGGCCCATGAACTGAAAAAAAAAAAAAGATTTTTCATGTTCTGCCTAATATCCTGAAAAGAAATAACCAACATTTTGGATTGTATTGCCTCCTGCACACTGCTGCTTGAAAAATCTCAGTTTGCAGGCATATGGGCATTTTTATACTGATCTAAATGCAGCCCAATTTTTTCAATGTGCCTGTACACACAGGTCCAAAAACATGCTTTGCGTATAGAACAGTAAAAAGAAAATGTAGAAACGTGAGTTGCCAGTCAGTATTTTTTTGTTTATGTTGTAATGCCATGCTCCATGCTTTTGTGTGCATACATAGTTACATAGTTAGTTTGGCTGAAAAAAGACAAAAGTCCAATCAGTTCAACCATAGAAAAAAAAAAGAAAAAGTTAGAATCGTATACCCACTGTTGATCCAGAGGAAGGCAAAAAGAAACGCCAGCAAAGCACAATCCAATTTGCTCCTGCTGGGAAAATAATTCCTCCCTGATCCCCCGAGAGGCAGGCATACCTGCAATTATATTTATTATGGGTACTTATATAGCACCGTCAATTTACACAGCACTTTTTCGTACACATATTGTACATTCACATCAGTCCCTGCCTTCCAGAAGTTTACTATCTAACTCACATTCATACTAGGGCCAATTAACCTACCAGCTTGTCTTTGGAACGTGGGAGGAAGCCCACGCATGCACAGGGAGAACATGCAAACCCCAGGCAGGTAGTGTCGTGTTTGAGATTCAAACCAACGTCCTAGTGCTGCCAGGCAGAGGCCACTGTGCTTCCCATACTTGCAAGTACTAGCAAGTGATATATAGCCCATCCTCACATTTTTTTCTGCCAAGAATATCTGATGCTCATACATCAGTACAGTGTGCAAGAGGCCTAATGGAAATGCCTTTTCTATTAAGATGTCTCTTCTGTGCGTCAAAAGACCTCTATTCTTTAGATTATCATCTGATGTGTGTGGTCCATCATGGAAATTGCAAGCAGTTTTTATTACATAGTTTTATGCATTTACATATACAGTATGTACTTGGGAATAATATTTTATTGCGTTTCTAGGAAATAACTATCACATTTGTATACATAAATCCATTTGTATGTTTACACTTTTCTTTCAGTTTTCAAGGGTTTTGAAAAACAGAGCCTGGCCTACATTCAAGCAAGCAAAGTCAAAGATTTCACCTCTTCATAGCAGTGACTTCTGCCCAACAAACTGTCATTTCAATGTCATGCAGGTTTCATATCCCAAAACCTTGACATCACTTGGCAGCGCATTTGGGGTACAGCTAGACAATAGAAAACAGACTTCCCAGGACAAAGAAAACAAAATCACAGAGCAAGGTAAGCACTGTGTAGGTTTTATATATTTTTATCTAACATACATAAACATGATTTATATTTGTTATTAAAGCACAAGTATTGAAAAGGCAATATTTAATCTTCTGAATGGGTCCATACCCATATTCCAAATGGAGTTAGAGCTATGCATAAGAATGAACAAGGGCTACAGTAAGCATGAGTGGGAGGCTCAGGAACAAGACTGAACTATTCTGAAGAGCAGGGCTTGTACTGAAGATTCCAGGAGTAGGTCTAAAGATAAATATTTCACCTAGAGAATTGGCACTGTTATAGCCATAGCAGCCCATGTGGCTGCTACAAGACCTGGAAGTTCCAGTTCAAATCTTTTACATACATTCTGGGTGCATCAGAATAAAAGATGTTTAAAGTTGTAGTTGTAATGCCCCTCTAGATAGAAAGGGGCAGCTAGAGTTCAATTTTTAGTCAGGAGGGCTGAGTAGCAGCCTGGGGGTAATAGTTAGTAGGGTCAAATTTCCGTCAGAGCTGAGAGGCTCTGCAGGTCAGTTCCCTGATACCTCTCTCTGCTCTAGAATCTTGGAGAAGATTCTAGAAGCAGTGGGTGGGGGTGAGGAGGGGCTAGCCTGCATGCTTAGGATTCCCTGGCCAATCCCCAAGCAGGAGGCTTAATACCACTTTAGACTGAACATTCATTTGGGCTTTAGACACAAAACATCTGTGTGCATGTAAAGATAACAGAGATGCAATACTGTAGCATTTAGGGGTTGAAGAGGTTGCAGTTGAAAACAACCTGTTAGGAGTGTGAGTCAGGCTCATGCTCCTACTCAATTCCCTGGCACTCGAGCCCAGCCTTTGTCTCCATTGTCAGGCACAGGAGATGCAGGCCAGGCCTGAGTGGCAGGGAACCAAATGGCAGGCTCCTAACACAACCCTAATTCCCTGTAAGGTCTTCAGTATAGAAGAGAGGAAGTCAGGTGCTCAGAAGTCTTTAAGATTGTGGTGTCAGTGTCCCTTGCTTTACTCCTCCTTCTCTTTGAATATGTTTTTTGCCTTTAGAGCTTTTGGTCATCCAACCAGCACTCTGATATTAACCCTATATGCTTAACACAGTGTTCTTGTGGCTTCGTGTAGGCATAACAGTGAGATAATCAGGATTAAAACAAGAGACAAGTTTAGGTGCAAACCTTTTTCAGGGGTGCACCTATGTACAAAATTAGATACAAAAATCTACTCCTAACAACTACAACTAACCACAATGCATCAATTTTTACTGTCATTTTAACAAGGAACTGAAACATCTGTTTGTGCCAATTAGATTTGAAATAATTGCTTATACTGACTGGGTCCTCAGGTGTCAGGCTGATAGTATGTTCTGGTAGCTACAACTGTGAACCTGTGATCTTCTGGAAAGGACTCCAGTTCCTTCAAGAGGCAAAACGTTTTAAATATTTGGATAGAGTGATAATGGTTAGAACCCTTCAGGTTGTCATTGTTGTCACTGCTCTCTCTAATTGTATTGATCACCAGCTTTTAAAGTGAGAGTGAATCCAAAATTTCGAGTTGCCTTCAGGACAATAGAGGAGGGGAAATTTTCAAATGGTGAGACTTGTTCTTGTGACAACAGGGGATTTTCTTCACATTGGAAAATTAATATTATACAGGATTTATATAGCACCAACAGTTTGCACAATGGTTTACAATATAAAGGGAGACAGTACAATTACAATACAGTTCAACACAGAAGAAATAGGAGGGCCCTGCTTATGGAGCTTACAATCTAAAGGGAGAGGGAGGTGGTACAAAACGTTATAGCTGCAGGGGATGATCTGATGGAGGTGACTCGAATACAGTTTTTAGGTGGAGGTGGGGTAGGCTTCCCTAAATAAATGAGTTTTCAAGGATCTCCTAAAGGTGGACAGGGTAGGAGCTGACTGGACATACTGGGGTTGAGAGTTCTGGAGGAGAGCATGGGAGGAGGTAACAAGGGAGCTAGAGAACAAGATGTCTTTGAAGGAGCGGAGCGAAATCTGCAGATGAGGTTGGTGATGTATAAAATTTTCTTAAATATTATACGTTGGGCTAGTAGCCTCTTACATTATGTTGAGTGAACAGGATGGGAAGTGAAGGGAAAACACAGATGGTAAAAAGAAACAGTGGTTTTAACCCTCCCTTACGTTATCCAAATTGAACATAAAAAGGTTTTGGCTTTAGATATACTTTCCCTTTTTAAATTGTAGATATGTGGATAGAAACCTTGTCAGATTCACACTACTGATTATCATCATTGACCTGATTTTTTCTAATTTCTTGTCCTGAAGACACATTAGAAAGTTAGGTATGCCATTGCTTGGTAGATGGTCCAGTATTACTGCATCAACTACAGCATAGATAGAATGTTGTTCCTTTCGTAAGCAAATGTGACTTTTCATATTTTATGTCTCATGCTTTTAAATAATGTTAATGTTATGTCTGGTGAATTTTCTTTTAAAATAAACTTTCCTTGTTTCTGTCTAGGTAAACTTAATCCTATGGTGTACATACAACACACAATAACCACAATGGCTGCACCTTCGGGACATTCACTGGGTCAGCGTGATGGCCATGGCTTGCGATATTTACTCAAAGATGAGGATTTGGAAACACAGGATATACATCATAAGTTACTATGCAAACTCCAGTCAGCCCTGGCAGAAGTGGAAACCTGCGTGTCTCAAATTGATGAGTATGTATTTATTATTAATTATTACTCTCAGGTGCTTATATCTGCAGCAAAGACAAGGGCTGGGCATATCTATAAACATTATGTATACAAAATGCAGCGCTATTAATAAACCATGAATGATAATAATAAAACACAGTCCAATAAAAGGTGCTCCTTGGTTCCCAGTGCAAATGATAGGAATGCGCACTAACCAGAAAGCGTATAAGTAATACGCATGTGAATATATATCCTGAAGATTCCCCTCTCCTTTCTGGTCTGGTCATGGAAATAGCTGGGAAAGATTCTTATAACACCAAGTGAGGTGGGTGGTCATGGGATGCACAGCTGCATCAGATTCTGAGCACTCCAGTTTTCGTAAATCTACCCCAAAGTATTACTGGGGTGTTCCCAGAATTCTGCTGATAAACCAGGAATCTCTCCACAGACCGGGGGTCTCTGAGGGGATAAGAAAATCATTCCTTTCAGCTGGGGGCTCGTCCGGGATGACCACCCACCTCACTTGGTGTTATAAGAATCTTTCCCAGCTATTTCCATGACCAGACCAGAAAGGAGAGGGGAATCTTCAGGATATATATTCACATGCGTATTACTTATACGCTTTCTGGTTAGTGCGCATTCCTATCATTTGCACTGGGAACCAAGGAGCACCTTTATTGGACTGTGTTTTATTATTATCATTCATGATTTATTAATAGCGCTGCATTTTGTATACATATTCATTTTGGGACTTTTTATGCGTTTTCCTTGAATGTTCAGCTGCTAAATTACTGATAGCGCTCACTATACTTTACACTATTTTATATCTATAAACATTAAATGATATTCTTTCCACCTTACCTATTTTCTGAAAACCTAAAAAGAATTCTAAAAGAATTCTTTCTCCAAATGTCCCTGACCTGTAACTTAATCTTTAACATGTCACATAACCTTAACCCTTGGTTGTAAAACTAGCCCTAACATAACCATAAGGTTAGCATGGACAGATGTATTTTTTTCAACTATATAATATAACCCCATGAAGGCTATTTTTACCCTCTAAACTACTGATGCAGGCTGGTTATGTACATTATAGTAGTGAGTTAACAATGCTGCAACCCACTGATCTATGTTATTAGTGTATCTGCAGCAGACATAGAAAGGTCTGTTAGGGTTAATGGTTATTGCTTAGTTGCTTGTCATGCTGCTAGGATTGTCTGCAGAACAAGCTTGTTCAGTGGCTGGACTGTAAATTAACATGTAAATTGTTTGTAATCTCTGAGGTTATTTGAAAGTGCATGCTGAAGGCACAGAACAAATATACAGGTTTATTAATATCATGGAATGCAGTGGTATATATATGTTACCAACAGGCGGCAGAAGACTGTCAACTAGGTGCTACTTTAGTAGTGTGTTGGGTTTTGTCAGGGTCTCTTCTAAACAGCACCATAGTGCAACCCTCAGGATCCCTGAATAGATACATCCAAGTATTGCAGAACCAAACATTATAACAAACTGCAGAGCAGGAATGGAGTTAGGGCAAGCTAGAGGTCAGGGTTTGCAGTAGTCAAAGAAACCAAGATCAGTGGAAGATTTAAATGGTGCTGACTGAATATTCTGAACTCTATTTAGTCACCAGTCATACAGCTAGGATTTAAAATCACGTAATTTGTGTGCAATTTCAGCGCGATTTCAAGTGCGACTTCTGAAGATTTTATTATTACTTGTAAAGATTTTCAACGATTTTTCTGCAATTTGCAGTGCGATTTCAATTCCCAAATCACACCTGAAATCACACCGGTATGACCGGGCACTTCACTTAAGTACCGTATTTTTCGCTCCATAAAACGCACCTGACCATAAGACGCACCTAGGTTTTAGAGGCGAAAAACAAGAAAAAAAATATTCTGAACCAATGGACTGCAGGCACAGTACAGGGGATGACCAGAGACTGCGGACACAATACAGGAGATGACCAGAGACTGCGGACACAGTACAGGAGATGACCAGAGACTGCAGACACAGTACAGGAGATGACCAGAGACTGCGGACACAGTGCAGGAGGTGACCAGAGACTGCGGACACAGTGCAGGAGGTGACCAGAGACTGCGGACACAGTGCAGGAGGTGACCAGAGACTGCGGACACAGTGCAGGAGGTGACCAGAGACTGCGGACACAGTGCAGGAGGTGACCAGAGACTGCGGACACAGTGCAGGAGATGACCAGAGACTGCGGACACAGTGCAGGAGATGACCAGAGACTGCGGACACAGTGAAGGAGATGACCAGAGACTGCGGACACAGTGCAGGGAATGACCAGAGACTGCAGACAGTGCAGGGAATGACCAGAGACTGTAGACAGTGCAGGGGATGACCAGAGACTGTAGACAGTGCAGGGAATGACCAGAGACTGTAGACAGTGCAGGGAATGACCAGAGACTGTAAACAGTGCAGGGAATGAGCAGAGACTGTAGACAGTGCAGGGGATGACCAGAGACTGCAGACAGTGCAGGAGATGACCAGAGACTGCAGAGAGTGCAAGGAATGACCAGAGACTGTAGACAGTGAAGGGAATGACCAGAGACTGTAGACAGTGCAGGGAATGAGCAGAGACTGCAGACAGTGCAGGGAATGAGCAGAGACTGCAGACAGTGCAGGGGATGACCAGAGACTGCAGACAGTGCAGGGGATGACCAGAGACTGCAGACAGTGCAGGGGATGACCAGAGACTGCAGACAGTGCAGGGAATGACCAGAGACTGCTGACCTTTGGGGAGGGAGGGGGAGCGGGTACCTGAATTTGACAGGTACCCACTCCCACTTCCGTGCAGTTGTCCTTCCCTTTTCTTCCCGGGCCGGTGGGCTTCTGTGACAGCCGGGTGCCCACTGCGCATGCGCGAGAAGCACTGCGCTTTGTGAACGGCCCGGAGCCTTCTGGGACCTGTCATGTGTCCCAGAAGACACCGGATCATTCACAAAGCGCAGCACATGCGCAGTGGCCACCCGGCTGTCACAGAAGCCAGCGCGGGAAGACTGTGCAGCGCTGGAGCGAGGAACAGGTAAGGCCCTGCAGGAGAGAACAGCTGAGCGGCCGGCCCGGTATTCTGACATGGTGGCGGCAGAAATACCGGACCGGCCGCTTTATATTCGCTCCATAAGACGCACTGACATTTCCCCCCCTTTTTTTGGGGGGAAAAAAGTGCGTCTTATGGAGCGAAAAATACGGTATTTCTTATAGAAGCCAGGTGTGCAGCTGTAGCAAGACAACACCACAGTAATTAATATCAGCTACGAAATAGACAAACCACTAGGCACTAAATCCCACAACCAACATAGGGTAAACAAGGCTGGTCCCACAGCTGCTCCAAGGACCATTAGGAGTATAATGTAATATTGATGAAACCAAGAAAATCAGAGCACTCGTGGTGAAAGCCAGAATAATTATGGAATGACATACACAACCAACAGTCAATGTCCGATTCAATTGTTTAATAGATCAATAAAATCATAATCACCATATTCAAGAGATCCATGTGGTAGTATGGCACAAATAGAAAGACTGGCACAGGTCACATGCTGAAAGGAATAATGGGAGTGGCTTACTTTGATGTTAACATGGCTGTGGAAAGCCTAGATGGTAAACTCCACAGATGAAAGGATGGTAGAAGAGCAGCAAATGGTGGGGAATATATCCACAAACCAGTAGCCTGGTGATATGTCACTTGAGAGACCAGCAAGACCTCCTCGGTGTCACTGAGGATTGCGCAGTGATGTCGTGGTGCACTGGAAGTGACCTCTGAGGAGCGCAGGGAAGCCAATGACAACCATCATGAGCCTTCTGCAGGAAGGAGACTCTTGGTTTCATTAATATCAGCTAGCAGATTTCAAGGGTTTGCATCCAGTTCCAGTATACTTTGTTTGTAGACCTAATGTAGGCTGCAAAAGGTAAACAGCTGAGGGCTGGCTTTACAGTTAATCTATGAGGCCTTTATGAGCGCTAGTTATTTACAGTACCAGTTCAAATTATTAGCAGTATATTATCATTATATTGTTGGTTTCTTGTGTATGAGAGCATCTTCTGAGCCTGGTTTGCACTGCGTAGGGTAGATCTGACACTGTAGCCAAGAATGAATTTCCTCCTCTATAATGTGAAAGTATTACCCTTGTGAAGAAAAACTATTTTACAGTCCTAAAACATCACCTGAATCATGCAACAATTCCAGCATGTTGGTGAAATGTCATGGTGCCAGTCACATGCAGAGCTATTCACTATGGAGATAAAATATCCTCTCATAAGAAATACATTAATGTAGTTGTTTAAAACCAAGGAAGCTGTCATGTTAGTAGTGTTGATCTGCAGTTGTCATGGTGCTGCAAATGTAATCAGCTATGACATTAGCCATTTGATGGCTTGACATCCTGGTTGAGAGCTAACATAAGCACACTAGCAACAGTAACAGTTACAGTTAATATGTGAAAAGAGAAAACCTGCGCTACACCCAACACATAATGAAAGTAACAAAATATAATATAAATTTCAATGAATAAATAAATAAATAAAGTGAACTGCTGCTACTCTCTTCCTGAATACCAGAAAATTTAAAAAACAAAAAATAAATGAGTGCGCTGTACACTAAACCAATCTGACACAATAACTAAACACAATATACCAAAAATGGACCATAAATAAATATGTGCATATACAACAAACAGATCAGCCTCTTACCAGACACATTGATCTCCAATCCAGAGATCAAACGAACAGATGGTGTCTAGATTCCATTCCGAATGGAGATCTCCAATTCCAGAGGACTCTGGTTTTGGAGAAACGCGCCAGGCAGAGTCTCTGTGACATCACCACGTTTCGGCTGGTGGTATGACACCGCGGGAATTTTGAATTTGTACACTGCCTTTATGCACCTTATCTTTGTAAGTGCAATATTTTACTGAATCAATTTTGAGTTTTATTGGGTTGCACTATGAAGTCTCTTCTGAATTAATCCTTCTCTACATTGTATGGAGAGT